GCAGTTTTTAATTTTGGTTGAAATTTGCAGCAAAAATTATCTCTCGGATCGTCTTACAGTCTGTAATATACAGTATGTGCTCTTGGATTTAAGACAAATGAAGCACTCCTTAGCGGCGAACAGACAAAGTTAGTATTTCTGTCTCGAAAGCAGAGCAAAATAGGCGCCCGTTTTAAAAAACACCGAAGCTTCAAACATTCTACATTAAGTATTAAAGATCATGCAGTTTGAACATGGCATATAAAAAGATGATAAAAAATTAGATATACAAGGAGACGCTAATATTTCGCAAAATATTCACAAAATGTTTAACGCAAATAGTATGATATGCGTACGGAAAAGTTGTAGTTCGTTTATTAAACTTGTTTTAATTTACATAGAGTTATCCCTTTCAAAATAAACAGCAACTATTGCATAAAATTATGAATATATACAAATTATATTGTTGAAACAGAGTTTTGATAAGGATACAAAAAGGATCCATGCCGAACCTAGCGCTATTTCAGTTTTAGTTTTCCTTTGTTTCCATCGAAAGTGATGAGAATATACATAAAAAATAAATCTTGTTGAATAGTTCGCAGGATGGTTAAGGTGTTACATAATAAACATAACCATTGTACAGTACCAATGATATTGACTAAATTTGCCGCTATTAAATTTTGCCGCTAGAGGAACTGCATACATTTTGAACTGTTAAAATTTGATTATGTAATTATTGCTATCGTTTTTGCTGTTTTAGTGTTACAATATTAAAGGGATGATTACTTAATGATTACTTGATTACAGTATTACGTGAATTTAAAACATAAAAGCCGATTAATTTTGGAAGTGTATATTTACTGTTTGAAGAAAAGAGACATATGTAATGCTCGCGTGGAAGACACAGAACTTTTCTGGCAATCTATAACTTCAATTAAAGATTAGATTTTTGTGTTATTTTAAAGCGTGCTTTCTGTCTGTTTAACGGTATTTTCCTTTCAATAATTAATTGAAATGAATATATGAATGATCTTTAAATCTTCTTTTCTTTTAATTCTTTCTACAAGACTCCCTGTCTTTATCTCATTCAGTAACTTTAGTCTCTTAAAATTAAATGAGAAACTTTAAATTCAAGCAGTGGTGAAATTGTGATGAATCTATAATTCTGGTAATTAACTTCTACCTTCAAGTTTTTATTTTATGGCTTTTTGATAATGCATGAAATTTCCATTTATATACATCAAGATACTTCTTTAAATACTCATACATTCCTTAACTGTAAAAGCTATTAATCAATTCGCTTTTGGGGCATTCTTGTAATACCATTTTCTAATAAAGGAAAAAAATGGGTTTGATTAAATGTACGCCTAAAGGCTGAAAACTATCACCTCCAAATGATGAACATTTGATTTCGTCAAACCTCCGTTTGACAACCGCCAGTTATGTGTCATTAAGCGAAAACAAGTCAAGCTTCTTATCTTGATGAATTTTAGAGGCTGAAATGACGATGGTTCAACACCTCCAAAAGTATGCCCATTTCCACATCGTTCTGTCCTTTATACCTTCTATTAAAGCGATGGAAAAAGAAGATAAGTGTTTGATATAAAACCAGTAAATTACTCCTAGATAAATGATTCTGTTTTAAAAATTATTGGTTACTGATTTTTCTCCTTAAATATTTAAAATATAAAAATTGAAGTTAAATAAACTTGTAGAATTTGGCGGCCTTATAACTATTTTGTTTCCTTACATTATTTTTTATTTCTTATCTTTCTCATTTTCAAACTTAAAGTCATTTTCTGAAAACTGTCAGATACGTGAAATTAAGGTAATCTGTATACCGTACAGAGTTTAATACAAAATCCTCTCTTAATCGCCATTTATCATTATTATTACTTTCAAAAACTATATTAATCAAATAATTGAACAATCAGTGTTCAAAGAGCATTTCTTTTGCTGTTTGTTTTATTTGCGGCGGTGAAACAATCTTCAGAATAGGCTTATATTTATTTCAACTTCTGCTTCCCTAATACACTGGTTTAAAACAAATTAATGAAAAATCACAAAAATAGTGATAACTAGTTAAAAAATAAGCCAATCCATATAAAATCTGAATATGTTGTGGAATAAGAATTGCTGAGTAGAACTGCAACATGCAAATAAGTGGAGCTGCAATCGAAATACGTCATCCGAGAGGAGAATAAAATTGCATATTTCAGAGTAAGCCTGCAAATTTCATAAGGAAATACTGAGTTATAGTGAGCTAAAAAATCGGGAATAGCCAATTTGTAACAATGGACCTCCAGGCATTATTTGCCTGAAGAACTGCGATGGAGAGCTTTTGGGACACTAGGGGCAGGAAAAAGTCAGAAAGAGGTGCTCAGATGGGCTAAATGTGAATCATTCTGTAGTTCATAGACTTTGGCAACAATTTCTGCCATAAATTCGGCATCCAGGAGCTTCAGTCAAGGACGGCCAACCGCTAATGACCGATATTTGTTGTTATGCGCACGAAGGTATAGAACTTCAACTCCGATTCAACTCAGATCCTCCCTTGCTGCAGTCACTGGAAAGTTAGTGTGAACGTCAACCGCGCGTAGAGGACTTCAAGAAGGAGGTCTGTGCGCGAGGCGACCAGACATTTGCTTGCTGCTCACGTTACGTCATATAAAGGAACGTTTGAGGTGAGCACGTCAACATGTCCACTAGATAGCTGATCAATGGAGGGCTATTCTCTTTAGTTTACCCTTCAAAGCGATAGTGGGCTTATTTTATTTGGGGAGAACCTGGAATCTGTTATCATCCATCAAACATCTGTGAAAGAGATGCATACGGAGGACGCAGTGTCTGTGTTTGAGATGGTATCCCTTTGGGTTGGACGCACAGACCTCCATACCAGGTCCATCAGCGGCCGAGCTGTAAAATAGCTGAACACTGGTAGTTCGGTCCGAGGTTCGAATCCCGCGAACGGGCTGGCTGCATGGATGGTTTCGTGGTTTTCCCCATGTGTAACGTGTATGCGAGCCACTTTCACTTATAAATTCCTCTACGAAGGCATACAGAGATAGATAGGCAGGTAGATGTAGTGTGCTTTGAGTAATCTCAATAAATCTAACCAAACCAAACAGACCTCCTACCTTTCCCTTGCAACCATGAATGCTCAGGGAGAGATGAGACTATAGAGATGACATCCTTGATGCTAATGTGCGCCCTTATTCCTGAGCAATAGATGATAATTTCTTGCTGCAGAATGACAACACTAAACCGCATACGGCCCGCATCATGAATCATAATCTTCAGCAGCCAACAATTCAGCGCATGGAATGGCCAGCTCTAGCACCGTATCCTTATCGAGCATGTTTAGGATGCTAAGGATGTTGGGACGTATAGCTGCTCTCAGTCTTCCTCTTCATACTCTTATCATGCTTACAACTGATTTTCAAGAGCAATGGTTCTCATTTCCTAAGGAACAGATAGACCGTACAGTCAACAGCATCGCACATCGCTGCATGTGTTTTATTTCTTTTAGGAAAGATCATACTCCATATTGAAAGTAATTTTCCTATATCAAACTGACGTATCCGTTTTGTTCAGTGTATATTTAATGAATTACCAGTATATAAGACTTGCATTTTGCAGTTAACATGCTTTTAACACAAAGATTTCGTTCATCAGCCTTTTTGTTTTCAAAAAAGGTTTTGACATGATTTCAAATTCTACTTATCATCAGAAAAGAATAAAGTCAGAGCTATTTATAATGCTGAGAATAAGTTTAACAATATTTAAAGTTTACTATTATTAAACATAATGAATAGAATTTATATAATGCACTTGTAGAGTAACGTTTACAAGATATTGCACAAGATATTTCATTAGCCTGATAAACACACGCAACGTACACACGTGCAAATGGAAATGCTATGTATGTGTTGCAGAGGGTGAATGATACCCTTGTTAATGTGTTTTTAAAAAAATTAATTTAATTTGTTAGTATCGTATCAAAAGCTGAAGAATTTTTAATATATAGTGTGGTCAGTCCAATAAAATTTATTTGCCAATATGTAATATATTTTAATAATTTTGATATCTTATAGAAAAATGTGCATAACATTAGTCGGAGTGTGTATAGTCTCATGTATTCAGATGCATCAAGCTGTTCTTGAATATTTATTGATTGTTCGCTTTTTGATAACGTGAAACGAATATAAAAAAAAATTAAACGTATGTTACTACGTCCAGATGTCTAGACCGACCTTTCGCCTTTCTTTTAATTCATAGGTTTTTCCTCTTTGCATTCTTCAATGATTTTACTTACCAGCCATTGTTTACTATGCTTTTCACATTTTTGCAATTCTTCCAGCTCTTCCCACTTGTATGAATTTCCCATTGTGCAGTGATTTGGTACCTCCTGTCTTACGTTTGATACCTCCTTTCGTTAACGCGGGTGCGCGTGTTGTGCATTATGTCAGTTAAATGTGGCAGCTGTGGTTTACCAGACTCCCCATACTCACGACAGACTTGATGGCTAGTGAAAAACTTAGGTTTTGCACTACTTCGGAGAGAGAGGGTCCCATACCTCCAAGTCTGACAGTTTAGGTACGACTAAATGAGATTAGATCTCCAGTCTTGTGCATGAAGAGCTGGAATGTTACTCTGAGACATGATATGTACAAGGTTTAACGAGTTTCCAGTCACGTGCCTTGTCGCACTCTTCTTTTCACCAGGAGTGTATGATTGCGATATCGCTAGCATGTCTATTAATTTAATTGCTCATCAAAATAACCGTCTTTTTGCATTTCTTCTTATATTTGATAAGTACAGCTCGATGCATATGAAAGCTTGAAATTCCTCATGGTGAAATGAGTTACGCATGTTTCATTCTTTAATTTCTGGTGCAGATCTCTATGTTTAATTATATTTATGATATTTAATTAATTATTAGTACGAACCAGTTAGATGAAAGCAATGTGATACCTACTTTTGTTTATCATTTGAGATTTACTTTCGTCTATTATTTTCAGGTCTTGGCTTTCTCAAGTGAAGATGTAAAAAGACATTACGTAGAAGTGAAAGATAACATAATCAACCAGTTTACAAAAGGTTAGTATTGGAATTTTAAATAAATATTTTACATAAATAATGAAATAATATTAATAATAAATTTCACAAAGCATTAAAATTATTTGCTTTGTACGAATGAGTTTTCTGCATATCATTTTGTCAGCACTTGTTTAAAAACGATACCAATCTAGAAATAACTCAAGCAAATATCCATGTTCATAAATAAATTTCTATCAGCAAACGCCTTGATACCATTGCGAAATACGTTTTGTGCTGTGACGCCAAGAAGTCTGCGGCAATGTAATCGGTAGGTATTCTACGACAAATGCTATTATCATTAAAGCGTCTCATCTATACCAGGTAACAACAATTTTGGCATGCCCTGTTCCGCCACTCTAATAATAGTCGCACTACGGGTCCCCCCTCTCCTTAGAACCAGAGTCGGAGGTTCAACCTCCTTTCTGGCCCCTTAGAGAGGGAGGCGCACCGCCCAGGTAGTCACCCGGAACGGCACTGGTCGTCATTTGCTACCCACCAGTCGCTCGCGCTTCATACTCAAATTTTCTACTTGTTTATTTCATACTTGAATTTATAGAGGTTCTGCATATTTGTAAGGTAGAGTCTAACCTTAATGATACAAAGTTTATTATGTAAGAAAGATACCACGTTTATTGAACAACCAAAACATATTTCGAGATTTCGCTTATAGATTTCAAATTTCTGCACAGTAAAAGTCTTCATTAGTAGTCTAGGCATGATTCAGCTTAGATTAGGGTTTTGTGTGGTAAGAGTAATACAGACTACTCTTACCACGCAAGAGGAATACAGTGATTAAGAGTAATAGACTTGTATGACACTTGTCTGACAGTAACATCACAACAAGCCCACGAAATTCGTCGTGGCAAGGAGAGCAAGACTGCGCCTGTCTTTCGGCAAGAGCCTTGAGCACCAAACAGGTGACACTACGACTTTGCTCAGTTCCGCCCCAATTTTGATGCAGAGATCCCCGGGGAGGGACGGGTCCGGGGGTCTGCCCCTTCCTCTTTCCGTACCACCAAACTCTCGACTTTCAACTCGCCGCATATTTAGAGTGACCCCATGCCACACAGGCAAGATCTAGAACAGTATCATGAACCTTCTGCTTTGATGAAGAACAAAGGCTTTCTCAAAGATATTGTAAGATTTTTATATTAAATATTTCTCTTTGAAAATAGAACGCATCTTCAGCAAAAATATCCTGGACCAAGTTACAGAAAGTATTTTTGAAATATTTTTAATTAATTGATGCCCTAAACCACGTAAAATTATACTTGCATAACCAAACATTACGAAGAAAATTTAGTACAGCTCTAACTGTTTTTGCTCGAGTTACCCTTAATTGTATAATACCACGTATTCGTTCTTTTTATTCCCTTTTCAAAAAACAATTAAGTTATATCACATGCTGATATGTTAACTTATATCACATGCTGATATTGCAGCAACAAAGTTTCAACTGTATTGTTTGTAACTACTCATTTTTACTCTGTCTTCATCTAATTATGTAGGAACATTTATTTTAATTTGGAATTCCTTTGTTTTTATACTGTTATTATCATTTAGTGTTAATGTAAATTGCTTTTGAAAGTTAAACTTTAATCGCAAAGAATTCTCTTCTTAGATCAAGAAGTCGTCTTGCCTGTTGAAGTGGATGAATTTGGAAATCCCTTGTCACAGTCTCTAAATAAACATCGCCGACAGAAAAGAGACATAAATGCATCAACTGTTAAACATTTCGTTCTTAAAGCTTTCGGAGAACATTTTCATATGGAACTGGAACCTGAAACTAATTTGTTAGCTCCAGGATTCAAAATCTACCATTTAGGAGGCCAGGTACAAAGGAATCATTCCCAAAAAATTCAGAAGCCTCTTGAGAATTGTTTGGTTAGAGGTAAACTCCGGAGACATGCAAATTCTGCTGTAGCTCTTAATTTGTGCAGAGGAATGGTATGTTATAAAAAAAAATTCTTATGTCTTTAACAACTGAAAGTTTAAATGAATCTCAAATTAAATCTTTTTATTAAAAATTTGTACGAATCTTATTATATTTTTTAAAGAAATATCTCTTTAATTCATGATATACTCTTTTTATTTAACTTCAGAGTGGATGGAATGTAATGACATTTATATAAACCAGAATTTGAATTTTAATAATAATTAAATAAGAATTTTAATAGCCACTAGATAAAAGTTTTAGTAAAGTAAAATTAACGATAGTATTTCTCATTTATTTCATTCTTTGCCTTTTATTTAATGATTTATTGATTACAGGAAATGAAGTAATTTACATCATCTATCTGCAATATACTTAATTGGAAGTACTTGGTTCAAAATAATAAGTTTGACCATTTTTTTTGAGTAATATCATAAACAGAATCGAACTGCCTTATGTGCCAATGGTCAATTTTAAGGAGAAATATGCAAAAGAAACATCCTGCTACAGATAATTATAGCAAACAATTTATTTGCGTCATATTTACTTGTGATACATAAAATTAAATTTTAAGATTTCTTGTGTCGCATAACAGAGCTTTGTATGAAATTTTCCTGTTAAGTATACAGTCTACAGTCGATTTTTAATCCACACATTGTCAAATATATTCGATATGTCTGACGCAGGGGCGTATATAATGTAGATTTTGAGTTTTGGGTCAAATAGCAGTGGGGTCAGGTAAATAGTACCTCCTTTAGCATACCCATGCATACACAAAAAAATGCAAGGCGTGAGGTCCTGCTATAGAGTAATTAGGCTTATTTCGCAGCTACGTGAGAAAATGGGGGCTCTTTTTCCGGGATTCGCACTCCAGACCTTCTATTTGACAGCCGGATGTGCTTTTAATTACACCATGAAAGCACGCGGTGAGGGAAAAAATCCATTCACTACGAATTTAGAGGCTAGTCTCATTATCGTTTCCTTCTTTGGATTACGTGTCGCATAACAAAAGCATCTGAGTCATAGCAACTATAATATGTGATATGTTTCTGGGATAATTAAAATTTAATTTGATATATTACAGGTAAATACAGGGTTATCCAGTTGTCACACATATCAAATTTTCAAGAATTGTAGAAATTTCAATATAAATATTAATGGCAAACCGTATCGATGAATGATACCCTTACACTGTTACACGTAATACAAAAACCGGTTGAAAAGCGATGCACAATCCATTCTAGCTCGGTAATGGCACTAGAGAAATGAAATTATGTAGGTAGAAGCATTGCTTTTGTGGTCCTTTGAATATGTCACTCAATTTACAATCCATTTGTTTTACTGCTCCGCAGCATTTTTTTCCCAAGACACGAACGCACGTCCATTCCATCGACAGCCTTTTGCTCACAGGATCGAAATGAAACAGCCAGATTTCATTGCATGTGGTGACTCCATGAAAAAGCATTCTGAACAATTCCAAGAGAAACTTTACAGAAGACCATCATACTGCGGCCTGATCTCCAAACTGCCTGATCTGAACATTGCCCATGTCAAGAGTCATGGAAGCCAACGTGAACAACTTTTTCTATGATATCCTAATCATTAGCGTAAACACTTTTGCCATATTTATGTCTTCCATGATGTGTCTCGTGTTGATGCATCTTTCATTTTGGATGACTTCCTCGATGACTGATGCATTTTTATCGATTGTAATGGTTGACAATCTACCTCATCATGGCTGGTCCTAGGTGTTGCAGTCACCACTCCGCAACTTCTAAAGCCATCGATGAACTTTACTTTGATTCATTATCTCGTCACCTTAGGCTGGCAACAGCCTTCTGTGAATCGATGTTGCTGAATTATCTCCGGCTGTTTAGAGAATTTGATGACCTCTCAGTAGGGTCTCAGCTTGGTCATATAGGCTGGCTTGTTTACATCTATGTTGGCTTGTTGGATGGCTTGTAAAAGAAAATTTTTACAGGTTATGTGGTAAAAAACGAATATTTCTACGTACCAAATTTCATTAATCTTATAAATACCATTACCAGGCTGCAGTAGATTGCTCATTACTAACCTATTAGCTTTAAAAATCGTTTGTTTGGTGCAAGATGGAGATGAGTTTTCACAAGCAAAAGAAGTTTTTATGATCAATTATTACTTCGCAACGCATAAATTTCAGTTGCAGTGTCAATTACAGCATTTATGCCTGACTTTATCCATTTTGTACGAACTCAGAAGAGATGGGTGACCACTTCATTTCTTACGAGAACATTTTCATTTTCTCGAATTCAGATTACGAAGCGGAAAATCATTGTGTTGTTACATTCACGAACATTTGGTAATATATGGGAGATTCAAATTTGAGAAGATCTATTTAAATACTTGAACCACTTTGCTGTAAGAATTCATTATGAAGTAATGCTCAGGCATGAAAATTCGAAAATGAAAATTATGACAAATTATCAATTTGTCATAATTTCAGTTTGAATCAATTTGTCATTGACTTTCATTCTGGAATTTCCAGAGTTTTTGAAATCATAATGTGCGCAACTTTTGGATTAACATGTAAGTGCGATTTCATTATCTCTGAATTTGTAGAGTAATTGTACAACTAGTTGTAACAGGATGATTCTTTTTGATTTATTTAGTATTCAGTGTATTTTGTGGTTCACTGTTGTTGTGTTAACATTCACGGTCTTGTAATTCTGAATTTAAATTTTGCAATTGTATACTAGTATTAAATTTTTGGTATAATGTGTGAAATTATATTATCCTATCTTAGTTGTTTACTCGGAGAAACATATTTATATAAGCAGTTTCAAAATATTATATGTTTCTTTTCTCAAATTAATGAATAATTTTAAGATATGAAATCGTGTAATAGTATAATTTATATAAAAATGCTGCTATTAATAAATAAAATATGCTATTAAAAATAATTATCTCTTCTTTTTAAAAATTATTTCTAAAAGTAACATGTCACTTTGCTATTCAATTAAAATATTTGTTTTCAAACATTCTGCAGCAACAAAGGGATTCAGACATTTAGTATCCGATAAATACATTCGCAGGTAAGGCAGAATTCTTGTCTCATTTCCAAATAGCGGCTAAATTAGGTCGAGGTGATTGAAAAAAGCTTGTAGCTTATAGTGATATGTTAAACGACAAAGGTCTTTTACACGCGAGGTAATGTTTTTTACTACAGCATTCTGGCATGTTGGCGCCAATCCAGTCTAAGTTCAAAACACTCAACAGATTACCACTAATTTATTATTCTAGAGTTTGTAATTTTGGTTTTTATTGTTGGATAGTGACACTGTTAATGGGTACAAGAAAGACTGCCTCCTCGGCTAAAATAAAAGTTACAGCATTACAAATGCAGCAACATTTACTAACAAATTTTACGCAGTTTAAAGGTTCCAAGTTAGTTATTTTAGAAAAGTGTGATTTCAACTGGAGTTATTTTCATATGCTTTGGGTCTAAATCCCAACAACGGAATCATAAACTGCGAAAATTCTAGCAAGGAAATAAGAATCATACAGAGAGGTTGTAATTAAGCATACCTTTTCAGTTCCCGGCTCTACCAGTGGTTCTCAACCTTTTCTGACCCATGCACCCCTTTCATTACTGTAAACGATCATTTCACCCATTTCCAAAACTCAAAAAATACATATACATTTATTTAAATTTAGGCTATTTTTAATGTGTTTAACAAACATCAAATAGCAAACAACAAGAGTAACAAAAATGTTGATAAATACCAAAACTTGTATAAGTAGTTTCTTATATTCATAAATTAAAACTAAATACTTTTCAGGTAAGTAAAAGGCGGGCTCTTACCCCCTTGAAACTATGAAACTCCTTCCTCCTGGCTGAGAATCATGATCTAGACAATGCTACTGCTTGGCATTCAAAGCAAAATTCTCCCTTTTTTTAGGTATCAAAGCTTCTGTTGACTTAGAATTACTTCAAAAACTAAAGGCTCCTATACAAACTCCATAGTTTCTGGATCCAGTTATTCTGTAAGATTCCAACCTTTAAGTTACAGCTAAAAATAAGGAACTTTGAGAACTGGTAAGCGAATAATCGCTTAGTTCAAAAAGATAGAAACGTAAACGTACGATGGGTTAATTACCTTTTATTATTCAAAACAAATTTAACAGTTGACTCCTTCTCAGAGTTTACAGCAAAGCCTCCACTTGGGCTTGAACTTTGGAATACTAAGAAATAAAGCTTAATTAAACTAAAGAAGATATAGCCGAAGCTATCAAGATTCTACCAAAGTTGGCCCCTTAACGCTAACTAACGGCGAAGCAATCAAGGGTTTAAAGTATGGCCCATCGTAAAAATAGCTTAGAGAGAGAGTAGCTTAAAAAGCGAACGCGCGCTGCTCAGAATATCTGGCTATCTAAACGAAGTTAGTAGAACTTCAAATACTTGCTCTTTCTTCATTTGCTTAGCTAAACATAAACTAAACATAAACTGTTAAAAACTTGGAATAAATCTTACAACGTATAATTTGTTGTAAGTTAGTTAATAGATATAAGTTATTTCTATAACTGAGGATTTAATTCCTAAAATATGGATCTCTGAGCTGAAGTTGAAAGTAATCAGGAATGCAGTATACGAACTTTTATTTATTATTAAAGTAAATAAATATAATTATCTAAAAACTTTCTTAAAAGGACAAACTTTAATTAATATTCAAGACTTATTTATATCGGGAAATAATTATGATCTAACAGTGGAACTTTCTAAAGAATAGTATGGGAAAAATTATTGTAAGATCTCATAATTAAATTTGCATGTTGTAAAAATAGGCCTATCATTTGAAGCAATTACGGAAGTATAGGATACAACAGAAATCCAAGTACGCAGTGTGCAAACTTTTAATATTGTACTGAATTCATATGGAAGTTTGCTTTTCCCGTTATCCACTAAATGTATTCCAGATTCTTTTATGTTAGAGTTTATAAACCGCGTGAAAGGAAATGAATTCTTGGAACGTAACGG